TTTTCTCATTTTGTCCGGAAGATTTCAACTTCAACGGACATGTTGACCGGCAAAAACATATTCTAACGGGAACTCTGGGTCAGATGCAAGGAATATGAAATACATCCCCAATTAAAGCTAGTTCCAGAGATCAGTATTTAAAACTACATGGTCCATGTTGCACCAGTACATATGCTAAGATTACATGGTTATATTTGGTTACTTAAAGCTCGAAAAAGATACATCCATTATGTAAATTGGGATCTTATATGGAACACATAAAAAGTATGTCAACATAGTCTATTACCCCTTTCACACCAACGCGGTTCCAGGGCCGGTTCGGAGCTGGAGCTTGAAAAGCACCTGTTCACACCGCAGCGGAGCCGCCCCTAAGCTCCGGAATCCGGTTCGTTTCAAGCACCAAAAAGTTGTCGGTCTAGAAAGCAAGCACCGCATACCTCACGCTTACGTCGGAGGCGGGGGCAGGGGCGAGATCAACCTCTAACAACAACAACAAAAAGCCTAACCCTGTGTAATGTTGTTTTTATAGGCAATCATTTAAGCTTTGTTAGTTCCAGGTTTAATATGTGCAATAAGTTCATTTCAATACGTTTTGCAATAAACATTGAACCAGTCCGGTCCTCCACTAGTACCACATTTTTTATTTTGGCCCACTGTGTAAGAACTTTTGAATGCAGCATGTAACGACTGTAAAGTTGGTGGTAAAGTCGTCCCATTTCGTTTCGACCGAGCAAAACCAAAACGATTAGCGCTTCAATACAATCGGCCATTGGTGTTGTTGTCGATGTGAGGGGTTTCCGCGCGGTTTGGCTTTATGAAGCAGGCGTGCAAACGGTTACGTCATGACGCAAACGGTTGAACCGGTTCCGAACCAGAAAAGCTCTAGCACGGAGCTAGAACGGGAAAAGCCTTGGTGTGAAAGGGGCATCAGAGGAGCGTGGGGAGGAGCTCCTTATTTTCATCTAAAGTAACAGACAGAGAATCAGCACTTTGGAAACAGGGCTGAAACAGAGGGGATTATGGGTAATGCTGCAATGATCTGTTTGGAGTTTCAGCCAATCAGAGACAGGCTCTGTATATATCTGATACCTGTGATATATTGATGAAAAAGAGTATAATAGGAGACCTTTGAATAAATACACTGCATGAAGTATGTCATGATGTATTTTTTTTTTGCCGGACCCTGAAGGTAGCGTCTCCCTGGAAGGAAGTGTCAACATGCTGACTCATTTCCTACACCCCTTCATACAGTACGGTTTGAATTCAACACTGACCAATCACTGATCTTCTCTCTCTTGCAGACGGACCAATCGGGAAATAATCTGCATAACTCCCGCCTCCCTGCTGGGCTCTGGCCCCGCCCCCATCCGGCTGATGATTGACAGGGCCGAGGTGACGAGCTCTGAGATCAAATACGTCTACACCGAGGACCCGACCGTCAGCGGCATCGAGCCCAACTGGAGCATCCTCAAGTAAACACTGCTGCCAATATAATAATGAAATGAATAATACATTTAGTTATAGATTTGTGTACATACTTTTTTTTAATATATATATATATACAGTATATACAGTATACATTAATAAAAATAAATGTGTATGTAAAAAAAGGGACAATATGATAAATAAAATTAGTGCAAAAAATTATTAAACCAAGAAATTGAGAATAATAATTAACAACAATTTTAATTAACAACAATTTACGTGTGTGTGTGTGTGTGTGTGTTTGTGCAGTGGCAGTACAGTGATAACAGTGACAGGAACCAACCTGAGGACCATCCAGGAGCCCAAAGTCAGAGCCAAGTACGGAGGAGTGGAAACCAACAACGTAAGAAAAACCTTCTAGAAAAGTTAACGCTAAGAGTTTCCCAACATGAGGTCTTGAAGTTTAATAACTCCTAAAGAAAATATAAAAACATAACTTAAGTATAATCTCTCTCTTCTGTAGTTCTGTACCGTGGTGAACGACAGCACCATGACGTGTTTGGCTCCCGGTCTGATCTACGGTAAACCCAACCCACCAGAGGGGCCGCTGCGGCCAGACGAGTTCGGATTCATCTTCGACCAGGTAACACACACACACACACACACACACACACACACACACACACACACACACACACACACACACACACACACACACACAGACACACACAGACACACACACACACACACACACACACACACACACACACACACACACACACACACACACACACACACAGACACAGACACAGACACACACACACACAGACAAACACAAGCACAGACAATCACAGACACACACACACACACACACACACACACACACACACACACACACACACACACACACACACACACACACACACACACACACACACACACACACACACACACACACACACACACACACACACACAGACAGACACACAGACAGACACACACACACACACAAAACAGACATACAGAGACATACAGAGACATATACACACACACACACACACACACACACACACACACACACACACACACACACACACACACACACACACACACACACACACACACACACACACACACAGACAAACACAAGCACAGACAATCACAGACACACACAAGCACAGACAATCACACACACACACACACACACACACACACACACACACACACACACACACACACACACACACACACACACACACACACAGCCCTCTCTCAAACACACACACACACACACACACCCACACACACACAGACAGACAGACAGACAGACAGACAGACAGACAGACAGACAGACAGACAGACAGACAGACAGACAGACAGACAGACAGACAGACAGACAGACAGACACACA